CTTTTCATGAACACATTATGGGCATTTTGTATGCTAGATATTTAAATGCACTTTTGAGTAATACGTTTTTAAATGTCGTGTATACAAACAGTACATGAGAACTATTCATCAGGTGCTGTATTATTTGTATTTTTTAAAGCTCTCTGATGTCAAGGATGGAGCCAGTCAAGCAGCGCCTGCATTTGGATTTGGAAGCAAGCAAGCAGGGACGTTTGGGTCATCAGGTAAGAGACGGAGTGTGGCATGTTTTGGTGACTCACAGAAGTGGGATTTCAGAGGTTTCAACTTTACAAAGCCTGAATCACCATTTTAAATAATTCACAAATTCCTCCGTTATGGAGCCTTGAAGAACTTACTTCAACAAATGCTTGGGAAAGGCAGATCAGAGGGGGTTATACTGTGGCTCAGCTTGTAGAAAGAAGTACTTCTGTTTTTGAGACAAGATCTCACTCTGTAGCCCTGGCCTGGCACTCACTATGTAAACCAAGCTGTCTCTGCCCCCTGAGAACTGGGATTACAGATGTAAACCACTATGCCCAGCTCTAGAAGAACTTTTTAGGAATATTTTCTCAGTTTCATAGGGAACTGAACATGATGATATATATATATAATTCTAGCATTCAGAGGCTGAAGTGAAAAATCAAAGTTCAAGGCTGTGGTTGCTGGTGGCACCCATCTTTATTCCCAGCGCTCAAGAGGCAGAGGCAGGTAGATCTCTGTGAGTTCGAGGCTAGCCTGGTCTATAGAGCAAGTTCCAAGACAGCCAGGACTACACAGAGAAAACACTGTCTCACAAAACAAAGTTCAGGGCCAGCCTGGCCTTCCTAACAAGACTCTGCCTCGGGAATCTGATAGGAGTCTACCCCTGTGCCTTTGGGGACTTTGTCATCCCACAGCTGTCGTGTAGCAACTCTGGTGGAAAGCATGGCAAGCCGAAAGGGCTCATGGGTGCAGGTGAATCATGGTAGCAGAACTGTCAGGGCCGTGGGGTTCAGAGGGTTTGCTCTAACCTTGTTCTCATTTGCCCCTAAACTCTTCAGTATCTACACAAGTCTGAAATAAGACAAAGGAGGAACGTGGCTACATTTTTCTGACTGTAATCTGTTTTTGTAGGTTTTCCAGTGGATAACAGCAGCAGCAGCAATGTTCAGAACTTTAGTTTTAAAACAAGCTCTGGATTTGCCACTGCCCTTTCAGGAAGCACGCCCGTGTTTGGAAATCACCCAGCCTTTGGGACCGGGCCCTCTGCTGGTTCTGCAGTCGCTTCCTCCACTCCAGCCTTTGGATTTGGGAAACCTGAAGCCACATCTGCTGCTTCATTTTCGTTCAAGAGCCCTGACACTTCTGGTTTTGGATCACCTGGGTTTTCAGGGTTTCCATCTTCCTTAGCAGTGAGTCCTTTCGGCCCTGCAATGGCCCCTGCCTTTGGAAGTGGCGGATCTGTGGCTGGTTTTGGTAGCCCTGGCTCACAGTCTCAGACTTTATTTGCCAAACCTTCTAATGACACATTTGGAGGTAGCAGCCTATCAGCCTCCCTCCCGGTCTCTGCCACAAATAATGTACTGTTTACCCCCAGGGATCAGCTGACAAAAGAGGAGCTGGAACAATTTCAGTCCCAGAGATTTACTCTGGGGAAAATCCCACTGAAGCCACCACCCGTGGAGCTCCTGACTATATAAAGGGCGGTGTCCAATACAGAACGGCTTTAGCCAGGCGTGTGGCGTATGCCGGTAGTTTGGGAGGCTGAGAGAAGAAATGCCACAAATTCAGGGCCAGCTTGGACTGCACAGAGTAAGTCATAGATCAGCCAGGTCTTTGTGAAACCCTCAAAGAAAAGATGAATGGTTTTTCAAGAAATGTTTTCGTAGGGCTTGGGATCACTGGACCCTCACACATGCAGCAAGTTCTACCTAAGCCACACTCCATCCCGAAATATGGCTTTTAAGGTTGTCTTGAATTACATAATAATACACCCCCTCTAAACCTGCCTTTCCCGAGCATTTGTTGAAGTAAGTTCTTCGAGGCTCCATAATGGAGGAATTTGTGAGAATTATTTAAAATGATGATTCAGGCTTTGTAAAATTGAAACTTACAGAATTATACTTTTCTGAGTCAGCAAAACATGCCACATATTCAAGAGTAAACTCTATTCCTCATATATATATATATATATATATATGAGCAATGTAAGGTTTTAATAATTTGAGGGATTTAAAGGTTAACATTTTTTGAAAACCTAGCTAAATAAAGTACAGCCCAAAACTTAATAAGCAAGGGAAATCTTTTGTACTATAATTATGAATGGAACGAAAAAATACAGGGTACTGAATAATTTTCTCATTCTATTCCAATTTATTACCCATCCCTTTAATAGGGATGCGGAGAGTGGATGCTGGAGATCAAACCCAGGTACAGTGTCTTGTGCATGTCACTGAGCTACATCCCCCAACTCTTTTTTTAAATTATGTGTGTGGGTGTTTTGCCTGCATGTATGTCTGTGTACCACTTGCATGCCTGATACTCATGGAGGGTGTCAGATTCCCTGGAACTGGAGTTACAGATTATGAGCCACCATATAGGTACTAGGAGTTGAACCCTGGTCCTCTGGAATAACAGTCAGTGCTCCTAACCTCTGACCCATCTCTCTGGTCCCAATTCCTGCTTTTTAACGTGGGAGAAAAAAAAAAAAAAAAGAACAAGGAAGGTGCTGAGGAGAGAGCTGAATGGGTAAAGGAATTGCTGCATGTGTGTGAGGACCTGAGTTTGGATACCCAGGAATTAAGGATGGCAGTGCATGAGTCTGTCACCCCAACACTGGAAGGGCAGAGACAGGTGGATGCCCAGAACTTGCTGACCAACCTTTCTAGCTGGATCAGTGATTTCTAGAAATCCTTTAAAAAACTAAGGGTGGAGAATGACAGGGAAGACACCCAACACCTTTGGCCACCACACATATCTGTGCATAAACATACACATGCATATCTCAGACCAAAAAACAAAAGTAAATGTCTTACCTAATGAAAGATGAGCACTCCAAATATTCATGCATACAGGCTAAGAATTCAGTTCCCAGAGGATCCAGATTCTGGTCCACTTTAAACAGTGTGACTCCCATCTAACTGTTCAGGGACCTTAGTATGTGAAACCAAATCCATACTCAGGATTTATTTTTATGTTTGATGTTTAGAACTGTCCTTGGTAATTGGTAAGTAGAATATAAATTGTTCCTCCTTTGATCTATGTGTTCCAGCAAAATAGAATCTAAGAATTCTGCCCCATGAACCTTAGGGCCTCAAATGAGACCCACTATAGGTGAATGCTTAGTCATTCCTGTTGCCTGGGATATTTATAAAAAACAGAAATTTATACCTCAGAGTTCCATATACTGGAAATCCAAAGTATAATTTACGTGTCTGCTGAGCACCTGGTCTGTCCTTCCAAGGTGGCAGAGGGAAAAACAGCAAAATGATGCAGGCTGTATCCTTACACAAGAGTGAACCTGTTCTCTCAAGGCCTTCTGTAAGGGTTCCCAACCCATCCATACGGGGTCTGTCCTAACGACTTAGTCACCTAAGGGCCCACCTTAGTACAGTCACATTGGCGATTAAGTTTCAGCATAGGAGGGCTGGAGAGATGGCTCAGTGGTTAAGAGCACTGGCTGTTCTTCCAGAGGTCCTGAGTTCTGAGTTCAATTCCCAGCAACCACATGGTGGCTCACAACCATTTGTAATGAGATCTGGTGCCCTCTTCTGGCCTGCAGGTGTATATGCAGACAGAACACTGTATACATAATTAAATAAATCTTTAAAAAAAAAAAAAAAAGTTTCAGCATAGGAATGGGAGGGTGCATCTGAACCTAACAATTGGCCACTGGCTCCCTTAGGTTCCAGGTAACTCAGTGCCTTCAAGGCTCTAAGGATACACACAGAGGACCCCATTAGTCTCAAGTATGTCAGTCGTGCTCGTTTGTAATGCTAGAGCTAGGGAGGCGCTCCTGTCCTCCCACCCAGCCTACCTGGAACTCCGGGCCAGTAAGCTACCCCACCTAGAAAACAAGGTAGATGACTCCTGAGGATCAGCACCAGAGGTGGTCCTCTGGTCTCCACATGCATGTGCATACCCATGCATACACACCTGCACATACGAAAACAACGTGCACATACACAAACGTGAAAAACACTGGGTTACTTTAGGTCTGTTATACCCAGATAATATATGCAGACCATGGGGCCTTTCCCTGGGATTGGGAATATACTGAGTATTCCAGGAGATCCCCCAGGCAAATTTAGGAAACGAGCCTCTCAAGCTGCATTCGGGCTACTTCAAATGTTTGACTTGTGAGTTTGTTTTAATTGCCAGTCTGTTTCTGTGCTCCTGCACACACCAAAAATATGTACATTTAATGGGACTCCAAACTATCAAATAGTACAAAGTTGTCAAAAAAAAAATGCTATGAGTTACTTTAAAAAACAAGAACTAAAAGCAGCAAAGCCCACAGAGTAGAACCAAACTGTATACCTGTGCACGGGCACTGGTGTCAGGAGGCAGAAGACTTAGCGTTCCTAGACTCGGGTCATGGACAGGCTAGAGGCAGCTGACCTAACTGACCCCTCGAGAGACGCAAGCAAGGGCTGGTGCCACACGTGTGGTTATCTGTCAGCGGGAAGCAGTTCTAGGGACCGGAGCAACCAAAGTCCCCCAAACAACCCACTGCCTTCACAGCGTCCAGATTTCCTCCCCCAGGCCAGAGCAAGTGGTGGAAATGCAGATGAGCTGTGACGGAGAACTGACGAGGAGAGGGTGAGCTGGGCCTCCGGTGAGCTGTACAAGGGCGGATGTTCCTCAGTAGTTCTCAGCACACAAGACATCTGGCCACCAGAAAGAAAAAATGCCAATGTAAAAGGCACCCAGGAGGCAAAGGATTGTCTTGAGCTTGAGGTCGTAGTTCAGGGCAGCCTGGCCTCAGAGTAAACTCTTGACTTTCAAAGGCACGTGATTTAACTACACACAAGAGTGACAGTCCTGCTTAAAACATCAGTGGCTAATTGTGGTAGTTCATGTATTGGAATATAGCCTTTTCAAGTGACCTATAAGAACAAAGTAATTGGTTTTCTATTAACTAGCATGTGCTGTGTGATCCAATTTAGAGGATATATATACACACACACACACACATACATACATATATATCTCAATCTCATATATATATATATATATATGGCGGTACTAGAAGTTAATGCTGGCTCAAGTTTCAGTGTCCTATTACATATATGAGCTAATTTCATCTTGCCTATGATCTAGGTGCTATAACCATGATCTGAGTTTTCTAAATGCAAATACCAAGATCTGGAGATGTTAAATGCCCACCTGAGGTCAGTCAACTAACAAGAGGCTGGACTGGA